CTCTCATACTAAAGGAAACACATTCTGGGAAATACAACAGAAAATGATGAATATATACCAGCAAAGCCTTGAGCAGTTGGTCTAGAAACATCATTGGTGATACTTTCTTGAAGGCCCAAAAACTTGAGGATCTGATTAATCATTATGAAGACTCCTAGATGCAATCTCTCAATCAAGAGGGCATGATTATGCTCCATAGATACAAGGCTGAACGTACTGTCCATCATAAACAAATGGAAGCTAACCTGAAGTGGGATTTGGAAGGCGATGATAATACCAAAATTTTCCGTAGGAGAAGCAGACTTCATATCCAAAGTGAAGGAAATTGGATTCAAGGGGAGGATAATATTGGAACTGCAGCAGTGGATTTCTATCAGAACTTATTTGCTCAAGATAATTCCAGCATATATGGTTTTAGTCTTTATAATATCCCTCAGCTAGTCACTCAAGAAGTTAATGAGGCTCTGACACAAGGAGGCAACTTTCGACATAAATCCTAATAGCTCCCCAGGACCAGATAGATGTAGCGGCGGCCTCTTCTTTTTAGAAAGCTTGGGACATTGTTGGCAATGATTTGTTGGAGATGGTAAAGGCTGTTTTCAACTGAAAACAGCTCACTAGATTCTTTACTAATATGTCTAATTGTCTCTAAAGTCTTGAATAATAGATTAGTTAAGATTATTCCTAAATTGGTTTCTCCGAACCAAAGTGGCGAGCTATAGAGGAAAATGTACTGCTTGCTCAAGAAATTATCCATGATATAAAAAAGAATAACAAGGAGGCAATGTAATTTTCAAAATTGACATGAACAAAGCTTATGATAGAATTTCTTGGAATTTCATATGTGCTGTTATGAGAAAATGGACTTTAGAGAGGATTGGATCTTTAATATCTGGACTGGAACCTTCTGTCAAATATGTGGTACTCTGTTGTTATTAACGGAAAAAGACATGGTTTTTTCAAGTCTTATAGAAGGGTAAAACAAGGTGACCCTATCTCCCCGGCCCCTCAATTTTCATCATAGGCACAGTAAGATGCTCTCAATGGGAGGAAAAATTACTCTCATCAAACATGTTCTTAGAGCAATACCAGTCCATCTACTCTCTATCTGTCAGCCACCAAAGACTATAATACTACATATAGAGAAGATTTTTGCAAACTTTCTTTGGAGAAGCAATGAGGGAAGAAACAAATACCATTGGGTAGCCTGGAATAAAATGACTTTTCCTACTGAAGAAGGAGGTATAGGTGGTAGGTCCCTTCATGACATCTCCGAGAGCTTGGGTGCAAAACTATGGTGGCAATTCAGATCCAGAAATTCTATTTGGTGTGAATTCCTTGAAGCCAAATATGCCAGGAGGGTCCATCCAGTTGTCAGGAAATGGAACTATAGCCAATCGCACTGTTGGAGAAGACTAATGAAAAGTAGAGACAGTTGATTATTGGAAGAGGGAAGGTTATTCAATATGGAAATGCTTCTACCTCTGTCAAAGGGAAGGTCTCTGATTATTTCCTCAATGGTAACTGGAACTGCACCAAGCTTAGAAATGATCTACCAGATGAGTTGGTCTCGCACATTCTTGGAATTACAATAAAACTTTCTAATCTTCCTGATCAACCTATCTGGAGAGAGACCACAGGTGGAAAATTTTCATGTAAATCTGCTTGGAATGTTATAAGAGAGCATCAGAGTACCTCTCTATTTAGGCATAGTCTCTTTTTTCTTATGGACACTTCTCAAACATAAGGTCCCAGTGGACTCAAATATGGGAAGATTTGGCCTCAACATTCCTTCCAAATGTAGTTGTTGTACTATATCCCGACAGGAGGATGAAGAGCACTCGAATATGGATTCATGAAACTCAATTCTGATGGATGTTCAAAGGGCAATTCAGGACCTAGCGGGGGCTGTGGAGTCATTAGAGATCAGTCAGGAATGTTTGTTCATGCATATGCTATATCTCTGGGCATCAAAACCAATAATATGGCGTAGACTTTGGTCCTAAAAGCAGGGATAGAATGGTGCAATAGTAATGGAATGAAAAAGTTGGAGATAGAATGTGACTCCAAAATGTTGACGGAATGGATCTTAAGAATATGCATGTCAACCTCCTTGGAGCATCTTGGAACTGATGGGAATTTGGTGAGTCTGTGTTTTTGTTTCTGTATATATATTTTTTAAAATAATTTATTCTTGGATGTTGTATGGGCATGATAGTAGTTGCATCTTATTTACAAAAAAAGTTACCCTGTTCAATTATGATACATAGAAGAACCTGAAGAAAGAAATCCAGGCTATTAGTTTTCATGTGTTATAATATCGCACCCTATATTGATCGGACTCTTCAAAAATGTCAACAAGTGTATGTTAGATTGGAGTTGACATGATCCATGATCCGCCTATATTACTCTTAGGTGAACCAACTTCAGGACTAGACATCAGTTCAAGCACTTCCATGGAAAAAGAAAACAGAGAACCATAATTCAGTCTATATATCAGCCTAGCTATAGAATTCTTCAATATATTCCTAATCTCTAACTCCTTCTCATGAATCAGTCGTTCATTATGGCTCTCTTGAATTGCTCGAGGAAAAATCACCAGGATGGGATTTGAAGTACTAATTCAGAAGTACATAATTCTGTATGATAATATCAATAATGATTTGTATCCTGTAAGTCCTTTTTCTCTATCAGTATTTTCTCTACTCCAAGTCCAGTGTTATGATTTGGGTCATTTTCTTTATAGATGCTAATGACATTACTGGAATTTAAACATTTTCTTTAAATGGATTTTCCCAGCTATAGCTGATAATTGCTCTCTTATAAGCTGATTTCACCAGTAACATACAAAGAGAAAAGGAAATCTGCAATTTCACATGGTGATTGATATCGACATAACACATTATGAAATAACATTTATAGCTTAGGGAATCGGGGTAAAGTGGAGTTCGCCTTGGAGAGTAGTACTTCAAGAAACAAATGAAAAACTTATCAAAGAATAGAACTTTTAGCCTATGGCTATTTTGGAACTACACTGATAGCAGGACATTGAAAATGAGAAAAGTGAAACTACATTTATTCATTTTTGTCTACATACAAAATATTGCTTTCTGGCCACCCGTAGTGAAACGTTTGGCTCCTCTACTCGAGTGTTAACATTCACTTTATCTATTTTAAAAACTAGCGATTCGTCCCTTATGTAGGCATTCTTATTCAAGATCTTCATGTAAACTGATAGACTATTGGCACGTCTGTTGTCAGTTCAAGGGAACAAAAATGCATATTTTCTTGCGCCGAGATCCAAATAGAAAGAGGTGAAGTCACAGCAGTGCATGGAAATGCATGATCGAAGTGCAGGGAATATAAGATAATTGAAGAGATGGGCTGTGGAAGGTTCTAATTGTTCTAATTGACAGCTGTCACTAACTAATCCTGTTAGGTGGTTAAGTGAAGTTAGAAGGTCGGTTAGATAATAATAATTCAGCTCAATAGTTACATTTAGTATATAATGTACTTTGCAGATTCAGTTTGGATTAATAAGAAAATATCTTCTTCTTCTTCTATATCTCTGCAATTGTTCTATGCAGTATTGTTTCATTGCCACCATTGATGAAGCTTCAAATGCTTTCTTAATAATAATGTTCTCTTCATTTATTCAAAAGTCGAGATAATTGCTTTTATTGTGTAATTTATACTTGTAAATTGGTTGTTGAGTTAAAGAGCCTTGGAGGTTTATACTTCGATCACTTAATGCTACTGAAGCAGGTTCAAGAATGTAATAATACAACTAATTCGTTATGCAAATGTATGTATATAGTAAAACGTGTATTATGTTATATTTAGTCAACTTGATGGTGTTGCTTCCTATTCTTTAGGGTAACTCTACTAAATAATTAAAAGAAAAGAAATATAGCAGGTTGCCAGGTTCACATTGAAGCTACTTAGCAATTTGAGCACTAAGTTGATTTCAAAGGAGTTCTTAAGGACCTAAATAGTGGCAATCTTTGGCAGCACTGCTATATTTATATATAATGACATATCATATATAGTGTCATCGTCTTGTAGATGTACTAAAAGTCTTCGATAGAAATGAAGCACTATGGTATAATTAATAGAACCTGGTGCTCATACCATATATAGAATGTGGGAAGCTTTGATTCGAAAGCAAACTATACCAGAGATAGGACATGGTTAGAAGAATTATACAAAATAGTGTGCTATACTATATGAAAAGTAGCAATTTCTTTTACTTTGTTGAGGTATTTATAAGTCCAGCAAATGTTGAGCGTCTTATCCCATTTAAAATGCAAAATCGACCATTTTCTCTTTAAAACATGACTAGTCTCTAGATAGTATGCACCCTGTATCAATGATAATATTTATCTTGGGTCCTAGCAGGCAACAAGTTGTTTTATGAACATACACTGAACAAGCTTGCAGATAGGGATGCTTACCAAATTGGAGTTGAAGAGATGGAGAAAATAATTGAATGCTTGGAGTCTATCATGTATACTAAGAGCAGAAAAGTGTTGTGGCTGATGGGCGCTAGCTAATTTCCATGATAGTATTGATCTTGGGAAGATGGTACCCAGCATTGTTAAGTGTCTCAAGGACTCAGATACTATTACGTTGTAAGAGACACATGTGGCGATACTGTGGGCTTCTAAAATGAGCAGTGTTGCAGGGGACAATGAAGATGGACTTTTTGTGGTGCTAGTGATCAGGCCTATTTTTAAAGAGCAAAATAGGCAGGTTCAGCACTGTGCATGGTTGATCGAAATTCGAATGACCAATGAACTTTCTCATATTGGAGGGAGATTTCCTGATCCAGCGACAACAAAATTAACATAAAGAAGTCCTGCCTTGGTTAATAAATGAAAATAATGAACAATGTTTGTACAGATTCTGAAAGTTATTACAAAGAGACTGATTCTAACAGTGTAAATTTCCAAATTTCAAACAGTCTCCTACACTACGTTCTGAATACGAAAGACCTAGTACTACACTCTAGTGCCACTGTCTTCTTTTGGAAGTACTTTCTTCCAAAACCAATGCAGCTTCCAGATCTCTGCTTCTGGCAGCTCACCTTCCTTCTTTCCTATCTCTGGTAGGAACTTGTAAATTATGAATCCTACACAGATAACCACAACAGCAAGGAAAGCGAATACCCACACATGCAAGGCACAAATGAGAGGCAACGTAACAAAATTCATGACTAATGTCATGAAAAAAAATACCGTTGCCTCGCAACATGCACCTAAAGCTCGAATATCATCGGGGTATGATGCCTCTGTCCAATCCCGAGGGCTAGAATGCAAAGAATAGCACCCTATGAGGAGGATGCTAGCGGCAATGGCAATGTAGTCTGACTGTTGCTTTAGATGGACTACAGGATTTGCTCCATGGAATACAAAAAACAAGGAAATCTGCATATATTGGAAGAAATCGGTCAATTAGATATATTTGACAAATGAGATTACTCTGACAAGGAAAATAAATAAACAAATACCTCGGAGACAAGAATCCCTGCACATGCAAAAAGTAGAGTTCTTCGTCGCCCAAAGAATCTATAACTCAAAACTGCAAGTCCAGCCACTCCAGCTCGAATCGCACCACCTAGGAATGAAGCTAGAAATGCAGCATGGTACTTATATCCTATGGACTGTAAGAATAGAGGCCCGAAAAACATGATGGAGTCTAAGCCTAAGAGCCGCTGGAAAATTTGTGCCGCTACATTAATTACCAAAACCGGTGAGTGTAGGAGCTTCTGCCAAGGCTTTCTGTCTTCATTTTCAATCACGTGAGCTAACTGTTGAAGCTCTGCTTCTGCTCCAGATCTTCGTATCCTCTTCAAGACTACTTTTGCCTCCTCCACTCTGCCTTGCTTGATAAGAAATTGTGGTGTCTCCGGAAGCAGAACTGATAGTAGAAATACTGGAAAGGAGAAAATGCCATATGCAAAAAGACTCCACCGCCATCCATCTATGTAATTGCCGGATGCAGCAAGATTTATTCCTTTCGCCACAGTGTTTCCACATATGAGCATGTAGAAGAAATCAAAGGACGCACAATCTTTGGCATTTCCTATACTAGTTTCGTGGCATATGATGGGAATTACCTGCACCAATATTAATTGAGTTCATAAATTAAATATACATACTTATAGTAAGCATAAATGAATTTGTATACATAGGAACACCAACCTGATATAGGAACCCCACGCCACATCCCGTAACAGCTAACCCGGTGAATTCGATGATAATATTGGGAAACCAAGCCGTCAGTAGGCTTCCCAAAACTACAAGTGCCGATCCACAAATAAGGACCGGCCTGCGGCCCCAAGAATGGGCCAATCTATATGAAGGCCATACAGATAGAAGAGCAGAAAGAGGAACTACATTCGCGAAGAGGAGTAGTAGGAAACTAGTAAAAGCACAAAAAATGTTTGTGGTGGCTTTTACTTGTCTTTTGTGAAGTCCTCGCGAGAACTTCAAGAGGAATCTTTCTACCCCAGTAAGGCCACCTGTACAATGATAATACAAAAAAAAATATTCAAATTTTAGAGGTATTATTAGTGAAGTAATTTATCTCTTGAATCATGTTTTCTGTGTAAAGGTAAAGAACCTTAATCATTACAGTTCTAACCATTACATGAAGGGTTTATGTTTCTAACATAACATTGCTATGTTAATTACCAGTTAAGGGAAACAGTGATCTATATATTCATTGAGTCATGATAGGTACCTTCTAAAATCATCTCGAGCCTGAAATAAGCAAGGAATAGAGCATACTCTTGTAGTTGGGACTTGGGAATATCTGAAGTAATACAAAGGCTATATTGAAGCATTCTATGGATGATGGGCTGTGAAGAAGCTTCAAATTTGTACCCTTTAAGTTCCTTCTACTAACTTATAGTTCCAATGGCTAGTTGTTTTATATCAATAATATAACCAGTTCAAAGAAAGGGTTATAGTAATATTTCTCTTTACCTTTAACAAATTATTGATTTTGGTAAGTTACCTTCAAATTTTTTAACTCTTTCTTTCCATTTTGGCATGTTTTTCTCATGGAACCTGAATTTGTAATTATCGAATATTCACGTAATCTGTTGGATATCTTTGTTCCTAAATTCATAAACATACTAGAAGTTCTGAAGAGCATGATTTGATTTACATGAGCATTTTGAAAATCTAACTGCTTTTAAACAAATCATTCCCACTTTCGCTCTCTCCTTATTATCTGTTTGATTATTTTTTTCCCAGCAACTATTTGTAGCTAAGCAGCAAAGAGAACTAATGTTTTTGGTCCACCAGCAGTACTGTTCAAACAATCTGCAAGTTGATGGTGAAGGACAATATTGAATGGGACACTGGTTGGTTGAGTCAATTACATTTTCAACATTCAAGGTTTTCTTTCACTCACAGTACTATTGTCCTCTCTTATGCTTCAGTTTTTCTCTCACACTTCTTTTTCAATTACTCACTTCTTGCTTGCTTTCTATTCTTACACACAGCTCAAATGGAAGGACCTATCTAGCGTGCGTAGATATAATTTCACTTAGTTTCTATAATATTTCTAGAGGTCTTGTTTCAGTTCTTTGAATATCTTTCATTCTTTTATGAAATATCTTATAAGATATTGAGTTGGTCATGACTTTTCAATATACTTGATGATTATTTGCTTCAACACATTCAAAAGGTGTTAATGTAGTTCGGGGAGTTGGATTAGACAGCTTAAGGATAATTATTTCCCTTAATTATACATTCTTTCCATAAGGTATATATACAGATTCTCTTAGACAAACACTCCTGGAATTTAGACTATAGTGTTCACAGTCACAGCTGATGAGATTCTCATTTATAACTCAAAGCATCTATTGGCCTTTCCTTCATGGTAAAACTAGGCAGTACGCCTAAGGGGTATCTACGACAAATCTCTTTTGCGGAAAAGTCCTACAATTTACATCCTTAGATTGACACATGCAACACATATTTTGTGAATCAGAGTAGATACATGAGTTCTATTTCTTAATTTGGATTTGGTATCAGTTGCAGACATGAATTACACAATTTTTCAATAACAAGGAAACATACCTGTGACACCAAAGGCACATCCAATGGTTAACCCCCCAAACGTTGCCAGTAATCCAATGGCAACAACCATAATAAAGCGCGGCTGGCTCTTTATGTCACTGCAATTCAAGGAAAATTGTATATATTAATCAAAATGAGATACAAAGTTCATTGAAGCAGATCATTCTTCCCTATCTCTGCTAGTTCATTTTTGTATATATTTTTATTTTTTTGATATATATTGATATACATTATACAATTCCTCATACTGGCACATCTGGCAAAGACTATTGAAATATTAAGGGACAATCTGTTGAGTGTAACAGACAGTAACTGTGCATTTTGTGATTTCTGTGGATACTTAGAAGGTAGTATAAGATGGAACATCTAGCATCAGCATATGCAGTTCAAAAGTGGAGACCATATCTCCCAATCCTCATACAGCTAAGAACAAAATGGTAGCGGCGTATTATAGTAATAATGCTTCTGTTATTGGGAAGTCAGGGACGGAACTTCCGAATTCCAATGGCAACTCACACCCAGATCTCACCAAAATTCATCCTGTTGCATCAGCTGAGATCGGCTAATGAAGTATACGGTAGGATACAAGATTATTTCCAAGATCCTAACAAAACGAATGCAGGGAATTATGAGTGATCTAGTGGATCCCAGCCAAGCAGCATTTGTCCAGGGACGGATAATCATAGACAACATCATACTTGGGCATGAACTGATTACAGGATATGGGAGGAAGCATCTCTCTCCTAGGTGTATGCTTAAGGTAGACACATACAGAAAGCCTACGATAGCGTTGAATGGATATTTATTGAGCAGATATTGGTGGAGCTCCATTTTCCAAGTAAATTTATCCATTGGGTCATGACCTGTATGAAAACAGTCTCTTGCTCTCTATTGATTAATGGTAATCCATGTCCCGCCTTTAAAGAAAAAAAAGGACTAAGACAAGGCGATCCCATTTCTCCCTACCTATTCGTGCTAGTTATGGAGTACTTTAGCAGGAGCTTAAAGAAGATGGCCAAGAACACTAATTTCAAATGTGCCTAAACAGGGAGTATCTAACAGAGCACGTATATACTGTGCACGTAACAACACTAGCTTTAAATTAGGATTTCAGTTTATTTAGGAGTCAAGCCTTCAGTTAGGATTGCTCATGTAACTTAATCTGCTCCTATTTCCTAGAGTTAGCTTTGCACTATCTGTTTTGCTTGATGTGTATGTAAACTCCATTTGAGTGGATATACTATTTTTAATCTGCTTCTCTGAATTTATACTATCCAACTTGGATTTGCCGATGATTTGTTTTTGTTTAGCAAAGGAAAGGCGGAATCTATATATATGTCAATTGAATAGGTGCTTTCAAGAGTTTTCAAAGGCATCTGGGCTCGTTGCTAATATTAATGAAAGTTGTGTGTATTTTGGGGGTGTCCACCCTATCAAACAGCAATAAATATTGGATATTCTTGGCTTCACACGAGGTGAGCTCCCTTTTAGATACCTTGGAGTACCACTGAGCTCTAAGAGGATATTTGTAACTCAGTACCAATCATTGGTGGAAAAAATGAAATCACAAATTGGACTAACAAATTCCTATCCTATGCTGGGAGGGATCAACTGATTAAGAGTGTATATGCAGCTCGGATTACAAACTTGTAGGAAGTTAAACAATCCTGTTTGAATAACCAGAAGGCGATTACTGAGTTACAGACACCTAAAAGTTCTAGGCCACACTACAAATATCAAGCACATATTTTAAGCAGTAAGTGCAGGATCATGGTGGTGAAGAATGTCGCTTTAGAGATAGAGGCTGATCATCATTCATCACAGCTCTTTAGGGGGTTGAAGCAAGAATATTACAGGGAAAAAATGAAGCAGGATGTCTCTATATTCATCTATTGAGGAGTGTGATGTTTGTCAGAGGTACACATTTGAGAATGTGGTTGTTCCTGTCTTACTACAACCCTTACCCTATTTCTAACAAAGTGTGGCAAGACATGTCCATAATTTCATTGAAGGCTTATCTAAAGTTGGGGGAATTTTAGTGATTAATAAGTAATTGTAGAAGGATTTAATAGAAGGCTGATGGATGTTCATAATGCCTTCTTACACAATGATCTTGAATAAGATGCATAATATATGAAGATACCACCAAGATTCCCATTACTAGGTGCGTAGGCATCGAAAATCCTTGTATGGGTTGAAACAGGCATCATGTTGTTGGTTTGCCAAATTGGCAACCGGCCTTAGTCGTATTCTGATTATTTTCTATAAACCTTGCAACGAGCAAATGTGCAAATTAATTAATGTCCTTGTGTTATGTGGTTCAAGACTATCTTCGCACATATTTCCACCGAAGGTAACATAATGTTAGTCCACTCATCATCTTATAGTTATTATTTAATTTTTATTTATTTATTAGTCTTTTTTCTCTTATTGATATATTGTTTTGTTCAACTTTTTTCGTTTTATATGATATACTAACATGTGTATTTTAATGTTTTTATGTTAATTGATTTGATATTATAAATATTTTCTTTTTAACTTTCATTCTTTATTTTAATCTCATTCTTTCAAGTAATTCTTATATTTTGCATGTTTGTTAATTAGTGAAAGATAGTTATACTATTAAATGATGTTGACTTAACAAAGTAGTATAATTAGAATTTTGGTTTATGCATTATTAGTTAAGTTTGGTGAGGATTAAAAATATACCTTTGACTCTGCAATGCTAGAGCACCGCTATTTTCTGTGTCTGAGGCCAGAGGAAAAATCTCACTAGCTTCAGGAAGTATTTCCTCCTACAAAACATATGAAAATTAGTTCATCCTCATTAAAAAATGATAGACAAAATAAAATAATATAATTATAATATTCTTAACTTACATCATTTGCCGATCTAGGCACATCAGAAGGCTGCGGGACAAAAATATCTTGAATAATATCCCTGTAACATAGATGATTAAGTGTTTAATTCAGGAAAACTTAGAGGACAAGCCCATATAATTGTGAGATGGTTTTACGTTCAAAATTGGATTACAACAATGCGCTTCACTAATTTTTTTAATTAAAATCTCTTTTACTATCTTTTAAACTTAAATCAATAATGACAATTAAACTAGACCAACTACATGGTTAGGTATTACAACTTATCATTTTTCACTTCTTAATGGCTTTAATTGTAAACATTTTAGTTTCTAGTTTCTACCATTCAGCACATTCATTCACAACCTTTCATGTACATAATTTTTCCCTTTATAAATTGGATAGAAAATGTTAGTCCACCACATTTTGTGTTTCATCATCTTATAGTTCTTATCTAATTTTTTTTATTTATTAGTCTTTTTTTCTCTCATTGATATATTATTTTGTTCAACTTTTTTCATTTTATATGATATACTGACATTTTTATTTTCATAATTGCTATAAGTTTGTGTGTTTCGGGTAATTAATAGAACATATAATGTTTGATAGAGATATATTATTTTTTATTTTTTATAGAGATTTTTATTGCACCGTTCAATTATTTTTGTATATGCATTTTCATCATTAGTTGTTATCTTATCAGTTAAATATGTTTTTTAACTCCTTATACATAATAAAGTAGCAAGTTTATCATACCATATCAGCCATTAGTTTATTATTGAAGATTTCAATGTAATTCCTTTAAAAATCTTATCAGGCACATTAACAATTTGAAAAGGTTAAATTTTTAGCAAACAAAAAGGGTACAGCCTCTACAAATGCTATTTTATTATACTACATCCTTTTAATATATATATATATATATCATATCTATTCTATTCTTAGTAGAAATTTTTAATGCTAAAAAATTAAATTATCAAAAGTTGAATGTCTTTTTTAGAGTAGCTGCTCATTATTTTTTATAACAATAGAACACAATGTGTTGTGTGTGGTTGAGTTATTCAGATTGAAATACTCACATTACGCTACGTCGGAGCAGATCCAACAGATCACTGAGCTTCTCAAAGTTGGGAAGGACAAGAGGAAGAGAGAAGAGATGTCTAGTGTTCTCTGCAAGATGAGGGCTACGGGAGGTGGTGAAGAGAGGAAGTGAGACCTGTATCCACCACTATTGATATTTGAAGGACCCAACCCAGATAGTTAATTTCACATTTGCAATGTATTTTTGTTTTCAAGAAAGAGGACTTGTGATCAAAACTTCCATTTTTATGTTTCATCAAAAGTTCTCTGATCTGTTTGCGTGATTCTCAAAAATAGCATGTCATAATTATGCCCAGCATATCAAAACAGCTGTACATATGTGTGAAATAGTCATTTATCTAAAGCTCAAATAGTCACAAGAGTCTAGTACTAGTAATAGTATGGACAGTGCAGAAGCACTTCTTATTCTGTCCTCTTCATGTTTCCGCATATACATGCATGTTGTACATTAAGGGTGTGTTTAGTAGGAACGAAAATGTTGTTGTGTGTTTCATTTATGAATAAAATATCTTTTATTTTTACTAGAGAGTAGAAAACAATTTTTGAATTGAAATTGAAAATATTTTTAAAAAATAAACTTAATTTTTTTGGGGGAGGGTGGGGTGGGGCTGGGGGGATTAGGGTTTAGATGGGGTAAAAAATAAAATTTGAATTGAAAATATTTTTAAAAACAAACTTAGATTTTTTTTTGGAGGGAGGGGGGGGGGGGGGGGGGGGGGTCGCGGGTAGGGGATGGAGGGTGAAAAAATAAAAATTTGAAATTGAAAATATTTTTTAAAAACAAACTTTTTGTTGGAGGGGGGGGATGGTCGCGAGTTGGCGTGAAAAAATAAAAATTTGAAATTGAAAATATTTTTTAAAACAAACTTAGATTTTTTTTTGGAGGGAGGGGGGGTCGCGAGTAGGGGATGGAGGGTGAAAAAATAAAAAATTGAAATTGAAAATATTTTTTAAAAACAAACTTTTTGTTGGAGAGGGGGGATGGTCGCGAGTTGGCGTGAAAAAATAAAAATTTGAAATTGAAAATATTTTTTAAAACAAACTTAAATTTTTTTTTAAAGTGGGGGGTGGGCTGGTAAGGGGCTGGCCGGGGGTGGGGTCGGATGAAAAATAAGAATTTGAATTAGAAAATATATTTTAGAAACAAACTTTAACTTTTTTATTTTTTGGGGGGGAGTAGGGAGGGGGGGCTGGCAGGGGGAGGGGTCGAGGGTAGGGGTGGGGGTGGGATGAAAATAAAAAATTGAAATTGGAATTATTTTTAAAAAACAAACTTGAATTTTTATTTTTTATTTTTTTTGGGGGGGGGGGGGAGGGTAGGGGGCTGGCGGGTAGGGGTGAGGTAAAAAAATTAAAAATTGAAGTTGAAAATATTATTTTTTTTAAAAGCTTTAAGTTTATTTTTTTTAAAAAAAATTGTAATTTGAAGTTGGAGGAGAGTTTTGGAAAATGTTTTCCTTAATTTTTGAAGGGAAGTCATTTTCTTAAATTTGAGGAAAATGAGTTGATTTGAAAAATATTTTCCAAAACATTTTACTCAACCAAACATGAGAAAATTTAATATCATTAAATGGTCCAGATTTCTTAAAAGGTACTCCTTTTGTCCCTAATTACTTGTCCACTTTTGAATTGACACACCTATTAAAAATATAATTAATGACATAATGAGTTTACCATTTTACCCCTATTAATTATGAAGTGAATGAAAGGTTCTACATTTTTCAAAATAATTAGTCATTTAATTGAGGGTATAATAGGTAAAAAGAATTTGTCCTTTCTTGATTTGTTAAAATGGACAAGTAATTAGAGACAATTATAAAAGGAAAAGTGAACAAGTAATTAGGGACAAAGGGAGTACTTTCTCCGTTTTTATTTATGTCATTATTTAGATTTCATGTCCCTTAAAAAGTTAGCTAAGTTTATTATTTAGTGTTCTCTTGAAGTCACATAAATTAATTTATTTTAATTAATTAAAGACCAATTAACATGAATTAATCATTTAGTTTTCCTATGTTGGTCAAATTCATACTTTGAAGACTAATAACTCTCAAAGATAAAATAAGAAAAATAGTGTTATTTATGTATTAATTTTGTGAAATAACAAATATCAAGGATCATCTATTTTTAATAAGGACAACAAATAAATAGAAACGAATGGAATAAAAAAAATCACTATTGTTGCATGAATAAATGCATGGCTCCAAACGTAGAGTTTGCTCTTAATTAATTCCATGAGTAAGAAGAACTAAATTTCGTCAATTTCTTCCACTAACATTTCATCACTCTCTCACGCACACTCGTAACTATTAAATCTGAGAAAACACCTTAGAATTACTACTCATTTCGTTTCATATTAGTTGATCACTTTTTATTTTATACAATATTTAAAAAATTATGAATAAGAAGATAATTTACTAATTCACCCTTTATAAAACTTATTGAATATTTTATCAACAAATGTGAACACTTTAAAAAAGAATTAACGGCAAAGGTAATATAGAAAAAAATTGATATATATTTTCTTAATTTAGTAGAGATGAAAAAAAAATCAAATTAAAGATCAAATATATACACAGCAACATTAATATTCTTAATTCCAGTCAGCATATGCATTTAATTTAATCTTAGTACAAAATTCTCTTTCCTTTTTAGGAAACCTTAGTGCATTTAATGGACTTGGAGTTCAAAAGATATAATTTCCCAACAAAAATATGAATTTGGGTGAATTAGTAAAAGGAAAAGTCTTTTTGCTAGAAAATTTGGACAGAATGATATTTTACTTTTTTGAACATTTTTACCTTTTTAATTTTTATATCTTGAAACTAAAAAATGGAAAAATGATTAGTTTAATTTAAAATAAAAAAAAATATTACAAACTTTTTTAATTTTCTGGTCAAATTTTCTGGCCATTTAGCATTACCCTTAGTAAAATTATCTTCTTATTCATAATTGAGAATTAGTAAAACTATCTTCTTATACGCAACAAAAGATTTAATTTCCCAACATTGTACATGTTGGATTTCAGTTTTTGCTTTGTTTTCGGATTTAAGATTTAGTAAGCGTTTGGTTATATATTTTTAAATATTTTTTTGAAAATTAAATTTGGGTGAAGTTTCAAAATGTATTTAATCATAATTTTGTAAAAAAATATATTTTTTATTTATTTTGAAAAACATGAAATATGACTTGTATCCATATTTTCTACAAGCTATCAAAAAAAATTATAAGTTTGACACAAAATTACCATTTTTGCATTAAAATGAACAACATATTATTCTAAAATTACAATATGATATTTTAATAAAAACTACTAATAACATAATTATTAGCTACTGCAATTCATCAAATTACATTTAGTTAAGGAGATTCATAAGTGAAGAAGAAAAATTACAACATACGTAGTAATAGCTATTGCTTAATATAATCTTACAAATAATCTTTTCACGACAAGCGTGTATTTCTAAATCAAATAACTGAAAAGGTAAGATAAAGTTAGTTGGGGTAAATAATATATAAAAAATTTCTTATAAAACTAAAAAGAGTTTTAAATTATTTTTATTTTAAAAAATATTCAGTAGCTATATATATTTTGGCCCAAAAACAAGTTTTTAGCATATTTAATTTTGGAATTTTGGGATTTGTTTTTCAAAATATCTTAAAACCTAGACAAATAGGTTTTGCCAAATAATTCCAAAATCTATAATCAAATGGTTCCTTAGAAATTTTGATTTATAAATAATAAATTTTAATTTATAGATCCGATTCGACCCAATATATAAAAGAGTATTTTGACCAATTTAGCAATAATAGATATATTTTTGAACTAAACTATTAATATTTAATAATATGAGTATTTTTAGATCAAACTATTCACTAAATACATCTTTATTCCATTTCATATAATTTAAAGACATGTTCGACTCTTAAACTATTATATTAGATTATAGAGGAAATACATAGTTACCCCATGGAACTAGTACCTTTTTTTTAAGTAGACACCTTAAGTTTGCGGGGGTCCTATTACCCCACGAAACCATTCAAAAGCATAATAAATATATCATTTTTTCACCATCAGTGCTCTCAAACCAAGAGCGTGTGCCACACCTCCAACCATTTAACAAAGGCCGGGTTTTATCCTAACCCATTCATTTTTTAACCCATAACCCAAATCCTAAGAAACTTCCAACCCATTTCACTTTCACCTACCCTCGTCTCTCTCTTCGATAGATCAAAACCCTAAGAAACTTCATGAGGCGAAGCTAGTTGGTAACATTGTTGGTTGAAATTTGTTGAATAGTGTTGTCGGAACGAAGAAGTGAAGGCTCATAGATTAGTTATTTGAAATTTCTTTGAAAATGAGTTTATTTTACATTGTAAGTGAATTTTGTAGTGATTTATATATTTTGAAAATGGGTTTTATTGAAAAGTCATAAATTCGAAGGTTGTTGATGGATTAATGTAGTACTCATTTTGCGAAAGTGAATCAAAGTTAGAGAGATATTGCAGTCCTTACTCGCCGTGACACTGTAGCAAGCTTCAATGGCTGTCAATGGTGTTTGAACTAATTTTGGGGAAGATGGGTCTTTTTTTTAAAATAAAGACTTTGGGGTTATTTTCTAAAATACTCACACGCCCCGAAAACGTGAAAACACAGCAGATGCGGAAGCGGGTCAAAATGTTATATTTAGTCTGGTCGAAAATAATTTAATGGGGTAATAGGACTTGCACAAACTTTAAGTATCTACTTCAAAATAGGGTCTAAGTTCAATGGGGACTTTATGTATTTCCTCTAGATTATATTATAACATTCTAAATACTAATAAATGGTAAAATATAGGGGATAAGGCGCAAGTAGCCCCTAGATATAACCGAAATCTCAGAGACACGTCTTAATTAAACTAAGGTCCTATTACCTCCTCACTCGGATTCATTTTTTTATAGTTTTAAACACATTTTGACTTACGTGACATATTTCATGGAGTCCGAAGCCAAAAGAGTAAGAAATTTTTTCAAAAATTTCAAAAGGGCAACAAAATTAAATATAGAACCAAAAGGGCAACTTTCTGACGAAAAATTTGATGATGTTTAAATGCCGCCGCAAGGCGCGGAATTCCATGCATCTTGCAAGGTGCAGCCGTCATGAGTCTTGTAAGGCTCAACCGTCATGACCCTTGTAAGGCTCAGCCGTCATAAGTCTTGCAAGGCGCATAGAAATCAGCGCCTTGCGGTGGTTTTAAAAAAAAAAAAAAATTACTCCGATTATCTATTTATTTATCAGAATTTGAAAAAAAAAATTTATCTACAAATTAGAAATTTAAACAGAAGAAAATAAACATAAAAATATCAACTATATAGTTTATTTACCCATTTTTATGTAATATTTTATTGATTTCAGGTGAAAGGGCATATTGCTAAAAGAACATTTGTAATAAATAATAAAATCGATCTCTTCCCATTTGTATTTTTATATTAATTAGTTTTGTAATCTTTTACAAAAAATTCTTTAATTTTCTTTGTCTTTATCACGAGATCTATTTTATTTTACACATTAGAAATAAAAAAATAACAAGCAATAGATCTTTTCAGAATATTTTTTTTCTATTCAAATTTTAAATTGCAACTATATTAATTCTTTTTCCATACTTTCATGCTAAATAATATTAAGAGCAATACAAAATTCATCTTTAACCAAATACACTAAAATTAAACAAAAATTATTAATTAATCTTGAATAAATAAAAATAATAGATACTTTAACTGAGTAATTAATATTATTTTTTTAAAATAAAAAGAGCTTAGGCCACGTGGCACAAGGAGAAGCAATGATTAGATGTTAACCCATAAATAGTGATTATATTTTAAGTCAAATCACATTATTTAAAATGTCCATCAAATCAACGGCAGATATGCATGCAGTTCATTTATGATTTATCAAATCCAAAATAAAAAGCTGCAATTCACCGGATTTTTTTATTAAAAAAAAACCTCCTCCTATCACCGGAGATTCTTACCCGATAATTCCTCCGACACGACGGCGAAACTCCCATCGTCGGAGCAACTCTTCCTTCTTCTTTCTCCTCTCCCACCCATCACTAAAAAAAATAAATTAAAAATCTCATTTTCATACATAAAATAATAATAATAATAAAAAAAAATATATATATACACACATTAAAAATTATAGATTAAATTTATCAACAATACAGATAATCGGATTGAACAATTTTTTTATTTTTTTTTTAAAAACGCAAGGCGCATGACGGTTGCGCCTTGCAAGGCGCATGGAATTTCGCGCCTTTCGATACTGCCCTGATTTAAACGTCGTCAAATTTTCTGTCAGAAAGTTGTCATTTTGGTTCTATAACTAATTTTGTTGTCCTTTTGGAATTTTTGAAAAAATTTCATACTCTTTTGGCTCTGGACTCATATTTCATGACTCCAAGCAATTGAAGCCCGTGGAAAATGTCTAGATGTTACATAAGTCAAAAAGGTGTAAAAAAAAAAAATCAAAGAGATAATAAAACCTTAATTTAATTAAAATACATCTCTAAAATTACTATTGTTGCATGAATAAATGCATGGCTCCAAACGTAGAGTTTGGTCTTAATTAATTCCATGAGTAAGAAGAACTAAATTTCGTCAATTTCTTCCGCTAACATTTCATATCTCTCTCACGCTCGTAATTATTAAATCTGAGAAAACACCTTAGAATTAATACTCATTTCGTTTCATATTAGTTGATTGCTTTTTATTTTACACAATATTTAAAAAATTATAAATAAAAAGATAATTTTACTATTTCACCCTTTATAAAACTTATTGAAAATTTTATTAACAAATGTGAATACTTTAAAAATAAATTAACGGCAAAGGTAATATAGAAAAAATAATTAAAGATCAAAATACATAGCAACATTAATATTCTTAATTCCAGTCAGCATATGCATTTAATTTAATCTTAGTACAGAAGTCTCTTTCCTTTTTAGGAAACCTTAGTGCATTTAATGGACTTGGGAGTTCAAAAGATATAATTTCCCAACAAAAATATGAATTTGGGTGAATTAGTAAAAGGAAAAGTCCTTTTGGTCAAAACTTATGCTATTTTATTTTGTTTTTTAAAAATATTTTTACCTTTTTAACTTTTACATATTTAAACCAAAAAATAGAAAAAAGATTAGTTTAATTTAAAATATAAAAGATATTATAGACTTTTTTATTTTCTAGCCATTTAACATTATCCTTAGTAAAATTATCTTCTTATTCATAATTGAGAATTAGTAAAATTATCTTCTTATACACAACAAAAGATTTAATTTCCCAACATTGTACATGTTGCATTTCAGTTTTTGCTTTGTTTTCGGATTTAAGATTTAGTTAGCGCTTGGTTATAGATTTTTAAATATTTTTTGGAAATTAAAATGAGTCAACAAGTTCAGTAACGTGTATATCTTTATTTAGAATAGATGTGTAAGTAATTAAATGAATATAACATGCTTTTAGTTTTGGTCAAATAATGAAAATATATGCTAACAATTCCATATGATTTAACAACTTCCTCCACTTTTCATTTGTATCTATTAAAAATTTTTAAAAAAGCTATTATGAGATTTACCTGTGCTTAGTACAAGTCCAACAAGTTGAATTCAATTACTTAATTTTTAGCGCAAAATAGTTATAACAACTTCAGAAAAAATCCAAAATAATTAAAAAAATATTCTATAGCTATATATGTTTTGGCCCAAAAACAAGTTTTTAGCATATTTTGGAATTTTGGGATTTGTTTTTTCAAAATATCTTAAAAACTAGACAAATAGATTTTGCCAAATAATTTCAAAATCTATAATCAAATAGTTCCTTAGAAATTTTGATAATAAATACAAAATTTCAATTTATAGAACCGATCCGATCCGATTCGACCAATCTAACCCTAACCTATAACCTATACTAACCCTATCTACTCTCTATGAAAAAAATTGGCCCCTCATTTTATAAAATTGTGTCATCTTCTTTCTCCTTTTCTTAGGCAAAGTCTATAAAGGAATTTTTTTTAACGGCATTATAAAGATTCATTTTACTATTCATCCAAATAATGAAAGTCTCTTGTTTAAGTTTTAACCAATATACAACCTCATCGTGTGAACTTTTAATTAATTTGACATGCTGGTGAATTTTTTTTTTACTACAAACATGATTCTCAATGAGGTTGATTTGGGTTATGGGTTAGAGTTGGGTTGGATCAGATCATGTCGTGATTTATTGTCATATCAATTGAGAAAAAAAATTATGTGAACTAAACTACATAAAATGTGATGTCATATTTTGATGGTCGAATATTAATAGGGTGATTATGAAGAAATACAGACAAAATTGGATCACCTTGATCTTGTTAAGAAAATATAACTTTATTGGATAATTATCAATAATTAGGTGATGGATCGAGCATATCATTTAATAAAGTTAGCCAGAAATGGTTCTCTTGTTGCAGCTCCGTCTAATTACTGGTTGTTAAAATTGAATTTTTTAAGAAAACTGACTTAATTGATTTTATCATATGCATAGACATAATTATGATAAATTAAATAAGCACATGCTATATATAGCAATAATAGGGATAGTTTTGAACTAAACTATTAATAATATATATATATTTAGATTAAACTATTCACGGAGTACATTTTTATTCAATTTCATATAATTTAAAGATATTTTCGACTCTTAAACTATTATATTAGATGATATTATAACATTCTAAATACTAATAAATGGTAAAATATAAGGGATAAAGCACAAGTACCCCTAGACTATGATTGAAATCCCAGAGATACATCTTAAATAAACTAAGGTCCTATTACCCCCTTCCCCGAACTCATTTTTTAAATATAATTTTATACACATTTTGACTTATTTGACATATTTCATGACTCCACGCAGTTGAGACCCGTGGAAAATGTCTTGATGTCACGTAAACCAAAAAAGTGTAAAAAAAAAAATCAAGAAAATAATAAAAACCTTAATTTAATTAAAATGTGTTTCTAAAATTTCGATCATAATCTAATAATACATGTGTGTTATCCCAAAATATAATTAAAAACCCCTTCTACTCCATTTGGTACGGGTTTTGCAATAAAAAGTACAGCCCAAAAAAAAATCTATTTAGCAGTAGTCTGCATTATTTTTCACTTTTAAGGAAACTAGGGCCATTTATTCATCAGACAAGAACCTGCTACAAGATCTCCTCATAATTTGTTTTAACTTCACATACACTATTTTACTCCTTCCTTTTTAAATACTTATTATTCTTATTAAAAATAGATGATTTATAATATTTATTTTTTAAAATAATCAAGACATAGTTAGTTAGTTATTTACTTTATTAAAAATGAATGATCTATAATATTTATTATTTTAAATAATCAAGGCATAATTAGTTACATTTATTTACTTTTTTACCTTTAATAATAAATATAGAGAAATATTAATATGGTACAAAAGAAAAAAGTCTTAAATTGATAAAAGTAATAAATTTATCAACTTTATTATTTTTCCCTTTGTTCATATTAATTAGCCTCTTGAATTTTATTTTTTTTGAATCTTTAAAATTTATTTAAACTTTCAAAACATATTAATTATAGGGGTAAAATGGAAAAAAATAATTAATTCTATTCTGATTTAGTAAGTCATCAACTAATATGAGACAAATATTTTTAGTAAGATGTCCATCTAATATGGGACGGAGGTAGTAATTATTATGTTAGAGAAAACACTTTAGAATTACTACTTCCTTCGTCTCGTATTAGTTGATCATTTTTTATTTTGCTTGGTGCTTAAGAAATCATAAATAAGAAGACAAACCAATTTCAATCAGTCAGATAAGAAGAAATTAAATCAGGAAAATATAATACATAAAATATACTATCATTTAACTTGGTATCAACTAACATATCTATGTCTTTCTACTTTGAGTGTGCACAAGTATGCACTTAAGATATCCAAAAGTTAAACAAGTATACACACACATTCTTACGTGTCAATTCACGTCATACATGTATTATGCCACATAGGATGTGTGTGTCTACTTATTCAACTTTTGAATAGTTTAAGTGTCTACTTGTGCATACCCAAAATTAAAGGACATAAATGCTAGTTGAAATACAATTTAAGGGCAAATTTATATGTCATGTCAAATATAAAGTAGATAACTTGGTATGAAACACTGAATAAAATGTTGAAGAAATACAATTCATCATGAAATCATTCTTGTATTTCCTTATTAAGGTGATAATGGAATATATTGGTCTTGTTATAAGAATCAAAGTTGAACCTTTGAGTTACATACATTTCAATTTCATGATATTCTTATAGTGAATAACTACTCTACGAGCTATTATAGGTGTCAATGTTGACTTATACTTAATCCTATATGAACCTCTCAGTGATATTCCTAATTTTATATCCATGCAATAATTAATTTGTCATTTTATATATTTTTTTGTTATTTGTATTCGATTCTACTTTTATCATGAATTCGTTTTATATAGTATATCATAAGATTTGAAAAATTGAATGTGGATTATTTGATTTATAATTTGGGGGTGGGTTATTTGATTTATAAATTGATGTGTGTCCTTCCATTAAAATCAGGAGTATAATGTGCCAAAATAAAAGGTGAGGGATATTTGAACCAAAAGTATAACAAAAGATATATATATATATATATATATAAAAACTATTTTTAATAGTACAGAGTTATGTTTAATCCTTTTCTGTTTAAGAAATAAAAAGATTAATTCAATAATTACTTTTAATTGATTTTTTCAAAAGAAAATGTTAAAGAGGGCCTCAAAAAGGTGAAATAAGGATGATGCTATTAAATGGTTTTCAAATTAAAAATGTGATATTCTTTTCTAAACAGACTAATAAGGAAATGATAGCACATAAATTGAGATAAATAAAGTTGTAATTAATTGTATTTTATTTTTGTAAATTGACAAATAACTTGCGATAGTATTTATTTTGTGGTAATGTGGACAGCTGTCAGCTAATATGAGAACAATTTGATAGAACCACATTTTTCTTGTTAACTATTCTATCAATCTATTTTTACTTGTCTACTATATTATAAAAATAAATGTATATAATTACTTGTCTACTTTGAAAGAAAAAAAAATCATCACTTAATTATTAGTTTACCTTTATTATTAGCTTTAATTATTTTCTGAATTTATTATAATTAAAAGGTGATATTATTTTAAAAAAATTAATTAGCATGGAAAACAAAAACTAAACCGAGAAGGATTTATATCAGAACCAATTTTAAGTTCGACGCCTTTTAGAGAATGCTACTCTTTTTTTTTCAGTTTTACAGACTACTATATATAGCATGGGTTTGGATAAAACAATTGTCTCAGTGAAAGCTTAGTGTTACTCCATGAAAGCAAAGGTCAAAAGTAATGATGAAAAGATGGGTTCACAAGTTTAGTAACGTGTATATCTTTATTTAGGATAGATGTATATGTAATTAAATGAATATAACATGTATTTGGTCAAATAATGAAAATATATGCTAACAATTCCATATGATTTAACAACTTCCTCCATGTTATTTGTAGGATGAAATAGAATTTACTTATTCAAAAAATGTCGCATGATCGCGTAGAAAGGATGAGTTATGACGTTAGTTTTACTCTTGGATTTAAGGTAACTGGTACAATATTCATTTAGTTTTCCTATGTTGATCAAATTCATACTTTGAAGACTAATAACTCTCACAAGTAAAATAGAAAAAATAGTGTTATTTATATATTGATTTTGGGAATAACAAATACCGAAGCAAACACGTCGATAATTTTTTTTGAAATTTCAAAAAATATCCTATGCATAAAGCAAATACATCAACAAAGACATACCTGCCTCTTAGCATCTTGTTAGTATAGTATATCAAAAGAATTGTCATTTTCAGAAGTTCCACTTCATGGTTAATTTTTCAAGAGAATTACTTGATTTACAAAGAAAAAACTAATGCAATTATACTCTTATCATTTAAATACTTTATCAATTGAGACACTACATGTATTACACATGAATGTTTTTTAACTCAAAAAGATAGGAAGAAGTAGTCTAAATTCTAAAAACTTCTGGCAAAAAAGGAGCGATAAAAGCGGACGGGCGAAGGCAAATAGGAAAAAGTTGAGCCTTCTTAGCGAGCTCACACAAACTCAACTAGACGGCAAAATTTAGAGAATGACTTTATTGTCTGTCTCTGCATTGATATGCTAATAAAACATCAAAGCTAATATCCCAAACTTTTAGTAGATCTTTAAGAATTATTAACTTGGAACTGGTATTTTGGAAATCCTTGCAACAGTTTGCTAGCAGGTAATTTCAAGAACTCTGGCTGAATTTTCGGCCAGTCATCTTCTCGGATTCATGAAGCATGTGATTTATAAGTCCCCTCGCGGCACTGTAATACCAGAGAAAAACAACGGAATGCATCCAATCAGAAGGTGGTTCATGATGTGAACTGGCTACAAGTTATAATTCGTTTAAAATTTCCATCAGTTTGGAAGACAATCATTTTATTAAAAACAATAAAAGCAAAAACAAGAAGACGGAATGAACTTACTCATCCTTCAATTTCTGAATTTTATCTGGATCAGTCTCATGCATATGCTTTTTGAACTGCTGTCTCACCATACCAACAAGAAGCTGTGTGTTATGTTGCTGCAAATTAAGGCCAGACAACTATTTAAGTAGCTACTTCTCAAAGGACAATTTGATGGAATTTTTTATATTCATATCTTTTTGTTCAAACTAGTCAAATTAATCTGAAATATTGTAAACAAAATGACAGTTCCATGCAATAAAATAAAAAACAAGACTAGCTCTTGCACAGTGCTTTTGGTTCTACAATTTTTCACATAATAGGTTCTTCTCATGCCCAACGTCCAGTTAAAACTCCAAGGTCTTAAGTTAGGGGAAGCAGCTCTATAACATGTAAAAAAGATAAATATATGACAAGATGCATTCTTGTCTTTTGGGGGGGAGGAGGAAGGATGGGATTGGGGGTGCGAAATTGTCGAGCCACTTCTCAAATCTGTACATCTTTACTGCTGATGTAAGTAAAACTGAGCAATATATTAAAGGCCTTAAAGACCATGCGGTTCACTCGAGGGTGTGAGGAAGGGAAATGTGTCATGGAGTTAATTGATAACTTAAGATGGAAGTGAAGAAATTTATACCTAACAGAATCTCTACCTGAGATCACATAAACAGATTGCGCTTAGTATCAACCACCTTAATCATGCATTTGAATTTTAAGGACCACATGAAAGGATAATCAAACCTAAGTGAATCGTGGGCAAAAGAAGACTGAAAAACTTAATCGACAACAACCAACACAACTGATATAATTTTAGAGCAGCATAAAGAAGAAAAACGTACCTTACTGCCAATGTATTTTGCTCGTCGTAGACACTCTCGATAAAGCTAAGAGACAATGGCAAAAAGAAAGAAATGCCTACTTAAATCACTTTGAAAGCAATTCTAGAGGCTGCATATATTCAAATAGCTAACCATTAAATGATACTTACTCGGATGGCATTGTTGGCAAGTTCAGGGGGTAATGCTGTTTGGAGAGATGGCATTATGCAACTCAATTCAAACGGTTCCTATAGAAAAAAAGAAATGTAAGCCCTGTTTGAATGAGGGGATTTGTTTTTTCAAGATTGATTCCAATCAAATGAATTCAAATCTGCATGACTGAAATACTTGAAATTGGAAACTAAAATGTATTAACCAACAATTTGCACACCTTACATTTTATTGTTGTGGAAAGGAAAAATATATACTTTTTTTTTTTTTTTTTTTTTTTGATAACCGAGAAATCGACTATGACATAAAATTACATGTTGTGGACGTACTAACTTCTCAAAAGTTCTCAACTATTCGTCCAAAATTAGTTCTAAGTTGATCAACCAAACAATTGCCCCAATTGTTGTTTTATTATTTTTGAGGGAGGGATCATGGATCAAATTGGAAGTCAAATTTGTTACTATTACAGAAGGATGAGTTTCAGGTTAAAAAACTTGATTATCAGTCATTTCATCAAACATCGTGGGTGGATTATCAGGTAGATTTTGAAATTTACAAGCCCAAATCTTCCATAAAAAGGGCCTGTTTTAACAATATTAGTCAATCAATCAACTAAACTTCAATCCTAAACTAATCAAGCCAGCTATCGAAATTCTCTACCACTATTAGAAGGTTCACCATAGTTAAAACTATTTACACCATCGACCAAACATAACCCTCTTCATAACATCCGAGTTCTGGACCGGAGACTTTGTGAAACTCGCATAGGCAAAACTACCTGTTTCAAAAATGAACCAAACCATATCCAAAGAATGCCACAATGATTAAGTTTTTAGTACATATTATGGTGGAAGGTGAATGTGAGGAACAACAAACACAGTTTCTGAGAACAAATTCTAAGCAAACACACACATACAGACACAACACTGGAGTAAAAAGATTCATTTGATTCTAGTTTTGGAAATTAGACAAGTTCTAACAGAAAATCAAATCATCTGTTTTCTTGATAGCAGAAGAGAAGAGAGGAGAGTAAACAAATAGAAGAAACATACAGTGGCTTTATCGGAGAAAGAAGCAACAGAGCCTGGGTACTATCAGTAGGAGTTCATCAAATTAAAGAAGGTGCAACTGAAGAGGAGTGTCAATTTGGACATTCTCACAAGTCAGATTGGGCTATTAAAACATGACAGATTAACTTGGAATCTTGGACACAGCCCAAATTATTCTCGTACTGAGTAACACTAGTTTCGGTATTCCAGTAGTACAATAACCCAGCACTACAATCAATTAAGCCCTTCCAAGATTGTGATAAAGTTGAATCATATGGTGCATAACAAAGTCCTAAGGAAACCATAACAGCATCAACAGTTGCCATACTTAAGCTACCTAAGGCAATTCATGAAAAAAGTCATATATGAATTGACCAGATACAATGACAAGCAACGGGTACTGTAGTACGGAGTAAATGAGACTATGCTAACAAGAATACGATTATCAAGTAAATCAGATAATAACTAAACAGATATTCCCAATGAAAACAATCCATAGTCCAAACCCAGATTGCTATTCCACAAGGGCAAAATAATTCCAGATGACAGCTTATGCCTATCGAGTTGAAGTACAAAGACATTTCTAGCATTCTCAACCCCATATCAGCTATGAATGATCCACTTGTAGTATTAACACCTTAACTACCAAGATAGGGAACCGATATCCATGAATCTATTTCTTTAACTTCAAGTCAATCGACTTTAAAAGCCTCCCCCCTCCCCCTTTTTCTTTTCCAACAACTCAAAAACCAAAATCAGAAACAAAACAATACAACACAGAAAACAGTGTAAACTCATAGTCCGACAACCAGGAAAAAAATAACTTTGCTAATCTTTTGTAAGGATTCTTGAAATTATAAGCCGTTGGAGCTAAACAGACCATGCAAACTGGATTGGAAGGTCAATATGAAAGAGAGGGCATCAAATAAACTAAATTTACTGTATTAAGATACTCAAACCTAGAAGAATATCCCAAACACAGCACTTGAAATGTAAATATCCCACCTAGTTTAATGCATAACATAGAACTCTTACTTCATTACACAACCGGAAAAAATAATTAAAAAGCAAAAACACGCACAAACAGACGCAAGTACTTGACTACAACAACAAAATTGATCTGCAGAAATCAAACCTTAGCTGAATTTTATTGTGCGCCGAGCTCTGTTTTTGTATCAGCGGGAGTGAAAAGGTGCTGACTGCAGAGGATTGGACACTAAATTTGAAGGTTAGGGTTCAGATCTTTCAAGAAGAGAATTGCCTACTTGCTGGACAAGAGGATTGGATGCTTAATTTGAAGGTTAGGGTTCAGATCTTTCAAGAAGAGAATTGGCTACTTGCTGGACCATTAGTTAAATATGAACCTTCCGCGATGTTGGCTAGAACTAGTGTAGAAAACGGGTGGGTTGGATCAGATATGGGCAGATTAAAATGAGTTGGATAAAAACTGGTTACATTATTCAATCCGACCATACTGAATATGGATATAAAATGGGTTGAAATAGTCAAACACCAGAAAATAAGAATATCAAGCGACCTTGTTAGGTGCATTTTGATTCTTTGCCAGATCCAACTAAAGATCCCAACTTCTTTTTGGAATCAATGGCACTGTAAAGTGTAAACTATAATTCAATGCAAAAGCTGAGCAAAACTTGTAGTTTTACACAAATCATAAACATAATCATCTAGCAATTGGACTTTGAACACTTATCTAAATGGGTATTCAATTATGTTATCCCATTCAACCATGAATCCGCCTTATAATCATGACCACAATAATTACACTTCGCTCTATCAACTCTGTTAGCATCTTTGAACTTCTAAAAATGTTCCCAAGCACTTGGTCTAGATTGTATGGTTTCTCTTTTCTTTGTACCTATACTAGTAGTTTCAACCAAATTTGTAGGTGAAGAAGTAAGTTCGCTTTCAGTTAAACCCACCTCATTTACTCTACTTATAAGTTCTGTCATCTATGAAAAATTGAATGAAAAGAGAATTAAAAAATGCAAACAGATATACAGATTATAAATTCAACATTGGGATATCTAATTCATCTAATGCTTTCTAGTTTCTATGCCAAAAACCTCTCAAGAATATAGAGTAATCATCTATCCAATCAATGCTTATACATTCCAACCGTAGGCATACATGTAGTAAACTGAAAGAAGGCAGAATCTCAGTGTTCAGTGTTCATTGATTCGAATAATCCTCATTAAGCATGAAATGAGACAGAATCATAGTCGAAACCGCGATTTTGAAGTGTCAGAAGTACATTCAGATTAGAGTAATTTATTTCAACAATCAATAAATGAACAGAATCTCACACATGTGAATAATCGAACTCAAGGATTCAAGCCTTCAACAAGCAGAAATTGAACTCAGTACCCACGGTTTCAAAGCAGAAATCAGGAGTAGTATTTATTTAACCTAAGGACATGGAAAGTCGAAACTTCAGATTCAGAGATACAAATCGAATTCACGGCTTCAACAAGCGAAAACACGCTTTGAATTAGTCTGGATTTAATTATGGCGATTTGTTTTCAACAGATATTTCTCAATCTTCAGTTATTTCTTTTGAAGGAAAAAAAAATTAAACAATGATGAAATTTACCTCACAATGATGAAGACGACGAGCAGCGGCGACGGCAATCGGCGGCAGCGGGCAGAGACTCTCAGCAAAGCAAGATGAAAATTTTGAAAAATGGGACTTTTTGGAACCCCAGTCTAAAGTCTCAACTCTAAGGGCTCGTTTGGTGCAAAGATGATACCAAATAGTCCTGGATTAAATTATAGTACCACTTAGGGGTCGTTTGGTTTGAATTCAAGTTATGATGAGATTAATTATGATGAGATTAATTATGATGGAATTAGTTATGATGTGATAAGTTATGATGAAATTATTTTTATTGACTTTTTGGTTTGTTATATTCAAAATAATAAATTTTAAGAACAATTTATTTATTTACAAAAATACCCTTCATGAATGTAAAATGTGATGTAACAAAAGGATTGAAAGAGACAATTTTGTCGTTTACTTATTTTATCCCGGGATTACGATACCACCCAAAGGGAAGGATAACTTATCCCGGTACTAATTATTAATTCTGAGATAAGTTATTCCGGACTTGCCAACCAAACAACAAATTAAGTGGTACTATAATTTAATCTCAGGACTATTTGGTATTATCCTTCACACCAAATGACCCCTTAATTTGTTGTTTGGTTGGCAAGTCTGGGATAACTCCCGAAATTAATAATTAGTATCAGGATAAGTTATCCCTCCCTTTGGGTGGTATAGTATGTTCGGGATAACTTATCCCAGGCTAAAATAAGTAAATGACAAAAATGTCTCTTTCAACTCTTTTGTTACATCACTTTTTACATTCATGAATGGTATTTTTGTAAACAAATAAATTCTTCTTAAAATTTATTATTTTGAATACAACAAACCAAACACTCAATAAAAAATAATTTCATCATAACTTATCTCATCATAACTGATCCCATCATAATTTATCTTATCATAATTAATCACATCATAACTTGAATTCTAACCAAACGACCCCAAAGGAGCTGTTTGGTACAAGGATAAATGGATAACTAATTTTTAGATTAATTTTAGCATGAATTTATTATATATTTGATTATGATAATATTGCGGAATAACTTATCTGGAAACTAGTTATTTTAAAATTATAATTTTTTATTTGTTTTACATTGAGGGTCAATAATAATTCTGAAATAATTAATCTAAAATAACTTGTTCCTCGATCAAATGAGCCCTAAGGGGTGTTTGCGTTGTGAGGATAAATATATAATTGTGTAATATTGTGTATACCATTATATATATATATATATATATATATCATAACGTATTGAATACATAATTTAGACGTTAAAATTTTTATCAAATTAGAAATATATGTTGCCCAATAGGTACTTATCACATGTAACTTCTGATTGGAGCTCACATACAACTGTTGAGGTTGTGAATATATATGTACATTGCTAATAACTATATAGTTAAAATTATTTAAAATATCATCTGATGTGCACCTTGTTAAAACGATTCCTCTATAAAATGTTTTAATAAAACTATCATTGAAATCACTATCAGTCTTAATGATACAAATACAATATATGATACAGATTTAGTATCAGTTAAGCGAAAATTATCAATCGTAATGATACCAATACAGTATATGATATTGATTTAGTATCAGTTAAGCGAAAATTATCAGCCGTAATGATACCAATACAGTATATGATATTGATTTAGTATCAGTTAAGCGAAAATTATCAACCTTAATATGAATTGTAATTATTTGTGAGAGAATAGGTATTTCAGAAATTACTTTTGAATTTGGATTTATGAACTTGTAGTTATTTTAAATTTTATGACCCATTTATCATAGTTTTCCCTTGAATTTATCCGTATCTTCTTTAAATAATAAAGTAACATGCAAAAACAAAAGCTTATGTTTTGTTTTATAGCAACAATTAAATAAAATTCTTATACACCTCAATAATTTACCCCAAAAAGAAGGCCAATCCTTGCAAGACTCCATCATCAGAAAAAGAAAAAAAAAAGCAGAGTTTAAATATAAACATTTTTAGCTCAGTTTAATTAATAATAACGTTGGGATGGAGAGAGGATAATGCAAGCTCTTTTTAAAGCTTATATTAAGTCTAGATTAATGATTTTAAATAGTATTACACACATCGAACATGGATATAAATCGACATATTCAGTATAATATCATAAAGTGAGGTCTATAGAGCCTAGAGGGTAGAGTGTACATAAATATGATCTTTACCTCAGAAGTAGAGCAATTGTTTCTAATAGACTCTTGATCGGCTAAAAAAAAAAAGGTAAAAAAGAAATAATGAAAATAAGGAAAAGAGAGTTACTTTATGCTAGCAAGTTGCGCTAATTCATATTAATACCATCTGTAAAGTTAATTGACCTTTCACGTCAGCTAATGATTTTAAACAGTATTACACACATACATACAAAAAAAAAAAAAAAAAAAAAGGGAAGTGCTAAATGAAATTTGGTCAAATAATTAAAAAAATTATAATTTTTTTTATATTATAAAATAAACTGATTTTTTTAGTTAAAATGTATTAAAGTTAAAAGGGTAAAAATATTTAAAAAGATGAAATAACATAGAAAAAATATCATTCTGGCCAAAAGATTTTTCCCAAAAAAATGTTGATAGTTACATTTTGTTTTGATATGAATCCCAAGTTTTTGTAGAACTAATTATTAGACTTATAATATGATGAATTGATGATCATCAAAAAAGAAGAAGAAGAAGAAGAAGGAACGAAACAAAGATTCTTTAAGGGTGGAAATCAATATATATTATCATATAATGATGCATGCATACATACAAATATTAAGAATACATAGAGACCTATATATATATCCTAGCTATATATAATAACAAAATCTAAACACAAAAAAAATAATACTAGTATGGCATTATGCCACAATCAATATTTAGTAGCATATATAACTAGATAAAACAAGATTTAGCGACAGACAAACTCAGTAGCTTAATGATAAAATCCACCGCTAAAGTTATTTAGCAATAGATTATCAAAAACTATGAATAAGTTCGCGGCTAATTCCAGTTTTTTTTTTTTTTCGATTTTAAAGGCCACTAGAACCAATCAATTTTGTCAAGCCATAAGTTATAGCCATGGCCAACCAACCTCCAAACAAAACCCTAGCAGATGACTTGATTGCTGGTGCTTTGCCCAACACAGCTCCTAACCATCCAAACACCATTAAAGCTATGGTGACAGCAGCAACAACAGCTCCAATTCTCACTTTATAATCTCTTATAAAAGATGCCGCCAGTAATGGCACAATTGCACCTACTGAAAATGCTAGAGCTGATGCTGCTGCTGCTTGTGCTGGATTTGGCAAGACATTTTTTTCGTCCTCGTTATCTCCTTCGATTTTATTTCTTCTTTTATTATCTCTCTTCATTTGAGCAACTTCTATATCGAGTTGAGAATAAACGGAGACAAATTCTCCTATAGCCATAGAACATGCGCCGGCCACTAGGCCGGCGAATCCAGTAAGGATCATGACTTTTATGTCCTTTTTCACAGCACCAATTCCCATCATTAATGATGCGGTTGAAACCAACCCATCATTGGCTCCGAGCACAGCTGCTCGGAGCCATTGGGAACGTTTTGAGTAGTCAAACTCTTTTTCTTCTACTTGTTGATGATCTAGGCATATTTGTTGTTGCTCCATATCATGATTCATAGAGAGAGTGAACTTAGATTCTTGTTGAGTATTATTACTTGCTTGGTTTGATGCCATAGTTGTTTTTTTTTTCTTTCTTTTTTTTTGGATGAAAATGTGAATAAAAATGAATTGGAAATAACTAATTTATAGTAGACAAAAGAGTGAAGAACAAGTAGATGATTGTGCTTGACACACGCCAATAATGCTAGGTATTTATAGAAAGAATTTTTTTTATTGTAGTAGTGGAGGAAAATGTGGGGACTTGTATGAGCACTAACATATAAATTAGTTATTTCCAAATCATTTTTATTCACATTTTTCATCCAATTATTCACATTTTTTTTTCTTTTTTCTTTTATTCTTATGATGGAGTCTTGCAAGGATTGGACTCCTCTTTTTGGAGTAAATTATTGAGGTGTATAAGAATTTAATTTAATTGTTGCTACAAAAATTTGCATGTTACTTTATTTAAAGAAGAATGAAAGAAGGGTTTCTTTGATATACTTTTTCTTTTTTCCCGAAAGAAAGTCCTTTTAAGGAAATAGTTAAAATGTTGTCCTTTAATTTTTTATCATTTCTAGTTCACACAACAACTAGAAAAAGACCAAAATTGTTGCTGAAATTAATGATAAAATATTTAACTTATTCATAACTAGAAAGGGATCTTAAAAGGAGAAAAAGGAGGGAAAAAATTAAAATCTTTAACATGAAGAAGAAAATGGTTTTCTAATTTTTGTGCTAAACTAGGGATTGGTTTCTCATTTATGTGATAAAAAAGGAGAAACTTTAAGGCATTGAGTTGCACCAAAATTAGGACGTCACGAATAAGGCATGACAAATAAAGATAAGAAAATAAAGTCTTAAATAATGGAGAAGTTTTTATTTGCCTTTTGTCCTCAATACTACTCTCTTGAGTTATATGTCCATATAGTGAAGAGGACAAATATACACTTACAAGTTACATGTGATAAGTACCTATTGGGCGACACATATATTTTTAATATGATAAATTTTATAACGTCTAAATTCTATATTCAATACGTCATCAAAAAAGTAATGGCTAAAGTTGTTTTTTTAAAACTCCCTTAATTTGTTTTGTTGCGGTCTTGTTTTGAGGTTTTGGTCACTTCATTCAGGGAGCTAGCAAACTCCCTTAATTTGTTTTGTTGCGGTCTTGTTTTGAGGTTTTGGTCACTTCATTCAGAGAGCTAGCATAGAGTTAGGGGTTCATCCGAACCCTCTTCGATGGAAAATATTACTATTTATACATGGTTAACATTATTTTTTATGTATATATAGTAGATGTCGAACCCCTTTCGGTTAGTTCATAGTTTACTTCTTCAAATTTTGAACTCCCTTATTAAAAATCCTAGCTCCACCACTAACTTCACTCTTGTGTTTACTTTGACCAAAGAGGCTCATGATTTTGGTAGGATTTTTATTTTTCTAAATAGCATAATGAGTGATAATGA